TGGAAGGAGACCCTCAGAGTTATACAAAAGTACATACAAGAGGAAGTGAGGGGAAAGGGAAAAATAATACAAGGGGGACAAATGAATGCCAGTAGAGGGGGCAGAGAGAGAAGAGGGGAGGGGAGGGGAGGGGAGGGGGGATAGTAGAGGATAGGAAAGGCAGCAGAACACAACAGACACTAGTATGGCAATATGTAAATCAATGGATGTGTAACTGATGTAATTCTGCAATCTGTATATGGGGTAAAAATGGGAGCTCATAACCTACTTGAATCAAAGTGTGAAATATGATATATCAAGAACTATGTAATGTTTTGAACAGCCAACAATAAAAAATTTAAAAAAAAATTAAAATAAAATGCCTCGCTTTTAAAATTTTTCATTTACATGTTTTTTTTAAATAAAAATAAAAATGTGACCTTGAGGTAGGAGAACAATTTTATGATACACATAAAACATTAAAGTGAATGCAGAATCTAGAGGGTGTAAAATAGCAGAGGTTGTTGCTGTATATGAAGCCTAATTAAAGCCAATTTTTAACAATAATTTCATTCCTGATAATCTATGAACCACATACATAGCAGAGTATGTAAATGAATCGTACAATATTAAGATGGTTGTATGATCGGATGGATGATAGTTTCCATTTGAGTGAAAGACAGATGGAAAGAAACATATGATCCTCTTATTATCCCCAATACTGCTTAATTTGAATTCTCCTCTTTTACTTGGGGCTGAAAAAAATTTTAAAATGCTGCTAGATTGTTTGTAAAGTGATGCAGATGCACATTCCACACATGGGAAAGAAACAGTGGCTTATGGAGTAGAGAACATAATTTCAGATTGTATTTTCAGTACTTTCAGCATGAAAATTTCTTATGCTTTATGTTATAATCATAGCAAGACCTGTGGTGAAGAAGATTTTTGTTTTAAATCATCTTCATTTTGTCCTAAATGCACACATGAGGGTATCGGATCAAAGGCAGATTATTATGACACAATCATAATTGTTCTGGGTCCCCTTGTCCCAGCTTTTAATCCTGGAGAGAACCAGATGTCACCCTGAAATGGACCTGGACTGGAAGAGAGGAATTCTAAGAGAATGAGTCTGGGCTTGTACATGAAGAGAAAGGCAGCTGTCTTCCTCCTCTTCAAAAAGGAGAGAGAAATAAACTCCCTGCTCCTCAAGGCAAGGTGAAACTATCCTGGGTTCTTGATCCAAATCTTAAGAATATAAATAGCCAGACACAGTGGCACATGCCTGTAATCCCAGTGACTCTGGAGGCTGAGGCAGGAGGATCACAAGTTTGTGGGCAGGAATTTAGTGAGACTCGAACTCAAAGTAAAAAAAATAAAGAGGTCTGGGAATGTAGCTTAGTGGGAGAGTGCCCCAGGTTCAATTCCCAGGACCAGAAAAGAAAGGAAGGAAGAAAGGGAGAAACAAGGAAGAGATAAAAGTAATAAATTGTCCAAGGGCAGAGAAGACAGTGTGTTTAGCTCCACAACCCAGACCTGTCTCCAAGGTCCCAGGCTTTACCCCAACACGGATATAAACACACATCTCGGAAATTATGTAAATCTCTTGAGTGCTCTCTACCTACATGTAATTACCTTCTAGAGCTTGGTTTTAGTTCAAAATCTCTCAAGTATCCATTAAATTTACTGAGAAAATTCTAATTGTGTAGAAGGACAAATATATTTTTTCTACACCCCAAAGTCTTATGAAATTAGTTCTTCCTCTGAATGAGCACATGGTTGCCCAGCTAAAGATCCCATTTCCTAATCACTTTCAGGTAGATGTGGCCATGTGACTGAGTTCTCACCACGGGAAAATTTTGTTTCTGGTATGACACTGTGTGCAAACTAACATTGAAACCATGAACTCCCTTGGGCCGGGATTGTGGCTCAGTGGTAGCGTGCTTGCCTAGCATGTGTGAGGCATTGGGTTCGATTCTCAGCACCACATATAAATAAATAAAATAAAGGTCCATAAACATCTAAAAAAAAAAAATTAAAAAAAAAAGCCATGAACTTCCTTATGTTTTCTGTGGTATGCAGGGAATGTTTCTGAGTTTCTCCCAAAACTTTATAAACTTTGTACTTCTTTTGTGAGTTTGTGGTAGTAGCAGGAGTGCCTCAATTAATTGGCAAATTATCCATTTAACATATGACCGAGAAGTGATACTGAGAGAATTTGGTCTGGCAAAGTATATGAACAACTTACATATGAAAAGTCATTATTTAGTTCAGCCATATTGTAGTTATTCATTTTATTAGTTTTTATGTATTTATTCATATATCACATTTATTTAGCACCTCCCATGTGAAATTTCTGTTGGAAATGGAGAACGAAGTCTGCAGGATCACTCATTTTCTCAAATGAGGAAAAACAATGAAGATTAGCGGAGGACCAAATGGGCTTTTCCAACACATGGTGACAGATTCCTTTAGTTTTCCTGCATTAATTTCTTCTTCATTCCTGAAGGATATCTTCATGGGGTAAAATAATTCTGGCTTAACATTTCTTTTCATATGGTTCTTGAAAGATGCTCATTTCCTTTGGCCTCCATGATTTCTAAAGAACAATTTACTATGATTTGGATTATTGTTCCCCTGTATCAAATGTATCTTTCCTCCCTGGCTGCTTTCAACATTTTTCTTTTGTTTTTAGGGATCAGAAATTTGATGATGATCTGGGTATGGTAGTGCATGCCTGTAATCCCAGCAGCTGGGGAGGCTGAGGCAGGAGGATCTCGAGTTCAAAGCCAGCCTCAGCAACTTAGTGAAGTGCTAAGCAACTCAGTAAAACCCTGTCTTTAAATTAAATACAAAAAGGGTTGGGAATATGGCTCAGTGGTTGAGTGTCCCTGACTTCAATCGCCAGTACCAAAAAAACAAAAACAAAAAAAAAAACAACTTTTTTTTTTTATATTATGAACATGTTGAACTTTTTTTGAGAGGTATACTATTTAGAGTTCACTCAGTGAACTCTAAATAGTATACCTCTTCTCTTTTTTGCTTTTGTGGTGCTGGAGATCAAACTTAGGGCTTTGTACGTGTAAGGCAAGCTACTTGAGTCTGTAGGTTCATGCTTTTCACTAAATTCAGGAAATTTCCAGTTATTATTTCGTTGAATACTGTTTCAACTCACACTGCTTTTCTTCTTGTGATTCTGATGACAGATTCTTGATACCTTTTCCCTCCTATCTTCTTATGTTCAGGTATTTCTGTGGCTGCATCTTCAAAATTTTTATGATACTGTTCCTCTAATATTTACTTTCTGCTGAGCACATCCAGTAAGTTTGTTACTTAGCATATTTTTCAGTTCTACAATTTCCATTTATGTCTCCTTCATGTCTTTTATTTCTTCTTTCCATTCAAGGGTTTGTAGGGTAAGCCTTTTATGATGACCACTCTAAAATCCTTGTTGGATAATTCCAACACGTATAATCCCATTGTTGGCAACTGTTAAATGTTTTTTTTTTTCTGATTCAAGTTGAGATTTTCCTGGTTCTTGATATAATGAGTGATTTCTCTCCATTGTATCCTAGACATTTAGGCATTAAGTTATGAGACCCTGGATCTTAGTAAACCTGTCTAGTAAGCCTCTGCTGAGTCTGTGTCTGCAGGGGGAAGGGTAGAAATCACGGCTGCCCATGTGGCTTCCACTGGCAGTGCGCTCTACTGGGGAAAGGGGACGGAAGGAGTGCCTTGCCACCTGAAACTTCTGCCCATGCTCTGTACCATTCCAGAAGAACAGAGGAGGAGTGCCTCATTCCCATCTGGCGAGGAAGCATATCTAGGCTCTCCACTCGACTTTTGCCAAGGGGAGAGTGAAGGGATGGGAGTGGAGCTGTGATGTTTTCCCTGCAATTTGACTGAATAAGGGCAGTTTGGGTCAAAAAGTTTCTATTTGCCCAGCCTGTCCCTTTCCTCATCTTTGGCAAAATAAAACAGGCTTTATGGGGAACATTTTTTGTCTGCATACCTTAGCATTTCTAAGGGCTCCTCCAGCATCCAGTTTGGCACCCAGGCACTCAGCACCATGTTGTTCCTTAGGGAACGTGGGTCTCAGGGTTCCTGGCCACTCCACCTCCTTTTCTCCACCTCTCAGGGTCTTGTGTCTATGTTTATGTAACATCCAGGGTTTCTAGCTTACTTAGAAGAACAAGGGGGAAATGCATCTGCTCCATCTTTTCTGGAACTAGAAGACCACAATTCCCTTAGCAGAAAATATTAGTCCCCCACCCCCCACACACACCATTTGTTTCCAGCTAGAGAAATAGAACTTTTCCAGAAAAAAAAAAAATCTAGAAACACCTCCATTTTGCTAAACAAGTTGAGGGGTCTTTCCCCAAGGGTCTCTGCTGCACAGTATGCCCACAGTTCACTAGTTGAGGAGCAAGAGAGGAACTTTAGAAAAAGTAGAGCCAGCAGGTAAGGGGAAACACCATTTGTTTATGGGTGGTTAATGAATTTTTTCTTTTTTTTTTAACTCCACCATACTCCACACTTCAGTATAAGAACGTGTTTCAGTAGAAACATTTACAAAGTGAGCTTAAAATCATCACAATTAAAGCATTATATATTCTACCCTCCCCCCAGAACATTTCCTCTCCCAGATAATAATTAAAGAAAAAAAAAACCTTTCCTTTTTATTCTGCTTTTTATTTAGATCTTAACCGGTACTGTAACTTCTCTTTCTTGGTTGAAATGTCATAGGATCTCTATCTATAACCACAAAACCCAAGCAGACTGTGAAAGTAAAATGATGAACTTGATGTTGACATGGTGGTTTATTGATGATGAACATAACTTCCAAGGTCATGACTGATATGTTAATCTTCTTATTATGGATCTTTCTTGACTGAACTAGAAGATCTATTCAAGGCTTGATGATCAATCATGCCTGAAAGTGAATGGGTTAGGGGTAGTTTTCTGAGGATTCACCTTTTTTTTTTTTTCCTCTTTTTTTTTTTTTTTACCCCTGCTTTGTTTTTCTATTGCAAGCTGCTGCACGGCCTTTTTTTTCTTATAAGACCTCTTGCAATATGATTATTGAGCTGGTTGTTATGAGCTTTCTTAGTAAGACAAATATCCAGGCTTTTAGAGATTCCAATTTTTTTCTGAAGTGTGCCCCTCATTTCTTGCGTGTTCTCCTTATCAGTTTCTACTTGTTCTGTTTCTGATGTCTTCCATTTTTTCTTGCTGTGTTCCGGGTTTATGTGATTCAGCTTCTCCACTGGGGTTTCCTTTTGGTGCAGATGGAGTTTCTTGAGAAGCTCAACTCTCTTCTGTAAGATTTGGCATTCATTGTCCAGCAAAGCGGCCACCAAGTGCAGAGAATAGGTGTCCTTGTTCAGTTTCCTTACTTGCTCTTCCAGCTCATTCTTAATGGACACCTCATTATTTGGTTTCATTTGGGAACTGGCTTGTTTATTTTTAAGGCTTTCTTTTCTGTCTGTCTGAGATTTCTGATACGATTGGATTAGTCCGTGGAGCTCGGTATGTTGCTTGCTCCAGTGTTCTGCTTCTTGTAGTAGCTGTTCCATGTTTTTCAGAAGTTTAATATTTTCTTCTTGAACATGAGGGGATCCATACTTTCCTTCTTCGTCACTTGGTTGAGTTTCATTAAGGACTCTTTTTTCTTCTGAACAATTTGCCAAATCCTTTTCAGAAACTTGGACCTTGTTCTTGGTAGTCTGGTTCTCGCAGTCCACCTCCTGTTTCTTGGCATTCCGTTTTTTCTCTGGGATGGAGTTAATGAGCAGTTTTTTCAGTAGCTTTTTATTTGTTTTGCTGAATCTTCTGACTTTTTCTTGAAGCTCTAACACATCCTCAGAAATAATGGTTTCCTCCAAAGGTTCCTTTGTTTCTGTGATCTTCTCTTCAAAGCCCGTCACCCTGTTAAGAATATCTCCAATTTCTCTCAGGAACTTTTCAAACTTCTGCTCAGCCTCTGGTCCTGTTACTTTTCGGCTATCTTGTTTTAGGGAAGGGAGGGAGCCCCAGCATGAAGAGGGATGTGGTCCGATTTCAAATACGGCAATAGTAATCCCAGAGTCCTGAATCTGTTGATGAAGAGCAGAAGTAGGCTCACTGGCTTGAGACAGGCTAGATGTCCCAGCTGAACTCTCAGAGCTGGCCATTGGTGCTCCAGGAAAGCCGGAAACCTTAGCGATTCCAAGGACAGGTGACAGTCCTCTGTGCAAATGGGTGGAGAGCGTGGAATGAAGCTGAGGGATGATGGTTAGGTGGAAGGTGACATCTCAGACAGCCTGGGGGGGAGGGGGGGGGGAAAGGGGGCCAGGAGCTGGGGCTCCATCTCTCCTTTCTTAGGCTTCTGGTATTTATTCCCTGACCCTGGCAACCAGATCTTTATTCTGTCACTGTACGATTGTGGCCTATCCCCAGCTTCTCTTTCCTTTGTGTCACAATGGAAACCTCTTAAACTCCTGCCCAGTGACTTACATCAAAATCAACCTTGAACTGCTCCTACTCCCCACCCAAGAAAGACCTCGTACCAGTCCTTCACCTCCTAACTCTTAGGTTCCTATTCACCTGTTCTCACCACACTCCAGTGACTTCCTCACCTCACCAGCACCCCCAGCTCAGCCTCAACCTGCAGCAGGTTTGGGTCCCTCCAAGGGCCTGGCTGAGCTAGGCCCCCAGGAAGTTCCCCATTCTTTCATAACCTGAAGGCCTTATTGCTCCCATTCTAGGGGAGATACAGCTGTAAAAGAGAGATAGAGAGATAACAGAACCAAAAGTGCTGCATCTTTTTGTGATTTCAGGGAAATAACGTCAGGAATCACTCTAAAAATATTCTACTGCAGTGAATGGGTCTTTAACAATACAAATACAAATTGGAACTTTTTCTGGGCTTTGAAACACAGCATCCTGTAAGAAGACCCTGTCTCAAGAAAAGGGCAGGGGGCATCTAAGATGCAATTCAGTGCTACAGCACCCTTGGGTTCAATCGCCAGCATCAGAAATAATAAAAGTTAATTTTCACAGTAACTGGTTAAAATAGATTTATTCTAAAGTATGTGAAATAGCTAAATCCAATTGTGGGTTGTATGAAGTAATGAAATAATTTGAAACCCAGTGTCTTCTTGTCTTTTTGTCCTTAGGAGTCAGGACCTTGAGAATATTAAGTTCAAAGTGTTCCTTGGGTGAGACTTTTCCTTGGTCTTCAACATCTTGCAGCCAAGTACTGACTTTGCTTCCAATTTTAAGGAAAAATTCAGACTTAATATTTTTCCCTTAGAGAAGAGAAATTAATGGGCTGTTTTTTTTCTTCCATGTCTACCAACTCAAGTTGGCTTTGGTTTCTCTGAGCCTCATGCTCATCTTCAACCAGTGGGGCTCAGAGCCATGGCTGCTGCCCACCCACACAAACAGTGCTGAGCCAGCAGGCTGGCTCCCTTTTTATTCTCCCTCCCTCCTTCCCTTCCTTCCTTCCGTTTTTAGTGCTGGGGATCCCACCCAGTGCTTCACATATGCTAGACAAGCGCTCTCCACTGAGCTACACCCCAGCCCCCTGGTTTTCTTTTTGCTTGAAAAAGGAGCACCTTTTCTATCCTGCATGGGGATGACATAGAGGCCAGCACTGCCCCACATTTTCATCTTGAAAGTTCAACTTTGGTTGTTACTTCTCCTGACTCAGCATCATGCGAGATAGTTCTAAAATCTTCAGGACAAGGGAAATTCTTCCGGATTTGGTAATTAATTTCTAGCTTTATTTCAGTATAATCAGAAATTATCAGGGCTGGGGATATAGCTCAGTTGGTAGAGTGCTTGCCTTGCATGCATGAGACCCTGGGTTCAATCCCTAGCACCACACACACACACACACACACACACACACACACACAAGAAATTATCTTTTACCTAGTATGGGCAAGGCCCTGAATTTCATTACTAGCAAAACACACGTGTGTGCACACACACAAAAAGAAAGAATGGAAAAGGAAAATGTATACCTTTGGGTATGAATGGATATTTCCTTTTGAATGTGATAGATTGTCAATGTTAATACTTGGTATTATCAATGTTTATGCCATTGGACATAAAACTGGTTTTATCCTTGTGGAAAGCTGTGACTTGAATCATGGTTTCTGATTGCCTCATGGCTGCATTTGCCCTGGGAACTTCCTGTGCAAAGATACAGGTCAAGATGGCCCAGTTGCTATTGTGACCCTGGCCTGAGGAGGATCCATGCAAAAGCAAAGAGCTATATCTGTCAGGACCTTGAGCTTAGGCACCAACTCCCTAGGATAGAGAATTCTAAGCATAACAAGATAACTCTAATGTCTTGCTAGTCCTGTGTCCTTCAAATCACCCGCTTTGCTAAAACATTCCCACAAATAACCTTCTGATGAAACCTATATAACCTATACTAACTCTGGGCCATTCATCCTCCATCGGGGGTGATGTCCCACCTGGTCTCAGCTTTTTCTCTATGTGTGTCTGTCTGTCTTGTCAATTCCCCATCTTCCCCCATCCAGTGTTTTTCCTGAATTAACCACTGCTGCCGAGAGCAAAGACAGGGCTACGGCATACCTTGTCTTGATTTTTATGGAAACTGGTTTGAAGTAGTCAAGAGAGCAAGATGTTTTTTTTTTTTCCCCTTTCATCAAAAAAGGATTTAAACATTCCTTTTCTCCTTACATCTATAATAAATACTGTGTTCATTAGCTTTTTTCATCACTGTGACCCAAATATCTGGCAATAACAACTTAGAGAGGTAAAGTTTATTTGAGGTTCATAGTTTCAGAGGTCTCAGTCCATAGATGGCCGGCTCCATTGCTCTGGGCCCAAGTGAGGCAGAACATCATGAGTGAATAGACTAATGGAGGAGAGCTGCTCAGCTCATTTTGGGGGTCAATAAGCAGAAAGAGGGAAAAAGGAAGGGGCTAGAGGAAGATGCACCCTTCCAAGGCACACACTAGTGATGTACCTCCCCCAGCTACACCTCACCTACTTAATTACCACCAGTCAGATTTTTCAGACTGGGTTGAACAGATTAGGTTACAGCTCTCATAATCTAATCATTTCACCTCTGGATATTGCTGAATTAACAAAGGAGCTTTTAGGGGACACCTCGTATCCAAACTATAACAAATTCCAATTCATGTTTCTGTTAATTTTACTGAAATTTAAGTTTAGATGCTGAAAATTATACAGACATTTTTATTGACCTATATTTGCAGTGGATAATCATGAAAATTAAACACATTTGGATTGTGTTAGAATTCTTATCTACTAAGTTTCTCATGCCTTACTAACTTTAAAAAAAATTAAAAAGAAAAACTATTTCTAAACTTAGAAAACTTGTGTCCAATTTACCTTTTTAAAATCAGTTTGCCTTTACAAAAATATAACATGCTCTCTTTTAATGCATTTGAATTTTAAAATAAATATCAAAATATAGAATAGATTACTCATGGTTCTTTAGACAGAAACTAAACTCAGACAGGCTTAAGCCAAGTAAACTGAGGTGGAGAGGCAGGTCAGTCTTTGGCTCATGTCACTTAAAAGTCCAGGAGTAGCTGCTTCTGCACTCCTGGATTCAGGGACTTATATGTGGTGCTGAGGATTAAACCCAAGGCCTCACACGTGCTAGGCGAGCACACTACCACCGAGCCACAACCCCAGCCCCTTAGCAGTCATTCTTTAGGTGGTGTCTTGTAGTGACATATTTAACCACTCCGGGGGAAGGGAAAATTCTCTTTCCTCATAGTTTCAGGAGAAGTGCCAATGAAAGCATTGACTGACCTGACTTGGGCAGGTGCCTAATAGAGTCTGGGGACATAACAGCCCAAGGACTGGATCAGGGAGACAAAGACTTTGGGAATCTGTTACCAGAATACAGGGCTGCGAGTGTCAGAAAAAACCAGCAGATGTCTGCCACACAGCCTAACAGGATAATGGCACAAAGCACTGCTTTCCATCCAAATGATAGGTCCTTTTTCCTCACACAAAAGCATGGAGATTCTGTTCTCTCTCCTCTGAGAGTTCTGATAGCCACCTATGATAATAATCACTTATATAGAAACAGATAAAAATCTTGCCTTAAGTGTGTGAATAATTTACCTTTTTGTTTTGAAAAAGTTTTAGATTTAGGGAAAAGTAGTGAAAGTAGGAAATTCCCATGTAACCTTCATCCAGCCTGCCCTAATGTTAGCGTCTTATATAGTCAGTACTACGATCAAAACTAACATTGGCATTTATTATTAACTAAACCTCAGGTTGTACTGGATTATCCAGTTTTCCTGCTAATGTCCCTTTTCTGTTCCAGGATCCCACACTGCATTTTCTTTTTCTTTTTTTTTAATTTAATTTAATTTTTTTACACAAATGGAACACTATTTTTCATTTCTCTGGTTGTACATGATATAAAGTTACACCATCCGTGCATTCATACACATGCATAGGGATAAAAATGTCATAATGTCCATATCATTCTATCATCTTCCCCACACACACACACTCCCCCTCCCCTCCACTCTCTCCCCTCCTTCCCCTCCCTCTCCTCTGCTCAATCCAAAGTTCCTCCCTTCTTCCCTTGCCCCCTGCCCATTATGGATCAGCATCCACCTATCAGAGAAAACATTTGGCCTTTGGTTTTTGGGGATTGGCTTACTTCACTTTGCATGATATTCTCTAATTCCGTCCATTTACTGGTAAATGTCATAATTTCATTCTTCTTTAAGGCTGAGTAGCATTCCATTGTGAATATATACAACAGTTTCTTTATCCATTCATCTATTGAAGGGCATCTAGGCTGTTTCCACAGTTTAGCTATTGCCACACTTTATTTTCTTTTCATGTCTAGTTTCCTTTAATCAGTGATAAATTTCAATAGTTGCTTCTTGCTCAGGACATTTCTGTTGAGTATTGCTCATGCATTTTGTAGACTTTGCTTCAATTTGTGTTTTTCTAATTTCTAGTCATTATTATATTGAAGGTATGTATTTTGGGCAGGAATGCTGCAGAAGTGGAATGACCTTCTCACTGTGTCCTGTCAAAGCACACATGATGTCATTATGTCCTGTATATAGCAAGGTTAACCTTGATTGCTTCATTTAGATGGTATTTGCTGGATTCATCCACTATAAAGCTATTATCTTACCCTTTGTAACTT